AACCGGAAGGAAATTAAACAGAAAAGAGCGAAGAGATACTCTCATTTGTCGTTTTATGTGTATACATCGAAAACGGAAAAGAATAATGGGCAAAAGAGTGAAGAAAAAAATATCATGAAAACAACAAAACTAAGTATAAACCGATAAAGATCCATCAATATATTTCTTTAGATAGACCATATTCCCCAAAATATAAGACAGTCACTTCAATTTGCATTAAGTATAAAGAAAAAAAAAGAGAGAATCAGCTTGTAACCAAGTGAGTCAACATAAACATGTAACTTTCTTATAACTTGAACTTGAAGACACGAATACACAAAATGAGATCAGTATCATACCCTTACAACTTAAAGGTAAAGACCAGTTATGACCATGCGATTGCATTGTGAAAGAAACGTTGTGGAATCGATCAGAAAAGGTTGATCATCTAGCATCTAGCATCTGCAAGGTTCTGGAATCATCAAAATGATAAGAAATTTGGCCCATTCTTCGTAAAGTTAAAAGCACTATACACAGAAAGATGTATATGGGACTACCCTATATCTCTCACAGACCATGAGAGAAACAAATTTACCAAATATATGAATTAGTAGGCGGTTTCCCGGCAAATTTTTTATCATCATGTATTAGTCAAAACATATTCTTTCACATGACTGGTAATGAGAGCTTCCATTTCATTTTTTGAAATTTGGGCGTTTCCAATACTGGTCTTTACCTTTAATAAAAGCATCAACAGACTTCAAGATTACTCATTTTTATTTTGATGCAACGAGTCGATTGAGGCACCTTTTCCCCTTTCTCTTTACATACAGTTAACACCAGAATTAGTCATATACTCCATGCCATGTAAAAACAAATATTCTTGTTTTGTTTTTTCTCGTTTTTTGTTATTTTGTAACTCAAGAATGAAAAGAGGACTAGATTGTCCTACTGATTTAAGTAAGACATACGTCCAAACCCCACTTGGATGCAAGTTATACTTCCTTACTTTATACTTCTTTATTATTTTGTTAACAGTAAAAGATTGCTTGCTTAATTAAAGAATAAATCAATGAAATAACCAGGAATATCAACATTCTGACCGCCCCTTTATAAAGGCGATCTATCTTTACGCGGTCCGTGCACTATTTTTCTAATGATTCTCCGCTTTGCCCACTCACATAGACCAACGTCAGCTTGCATTGGTATGTGTACTTAAACCAGATAATGCCCCCTTTTTGTCATTTTCAAATGCGTGTCATAAATTTCTAACCAACGCATAATCAGACTATGCATCCTGATCTATAAAGGCCATGACCCCGGCCCCCCACTCAGTGTTATTTAGGGTACGCATTATGCTCGTTCCCTCTTTTTAAAATCACCCCCTATCTGAGGTCTGCCAACATTTCCGAACCCCCCTTTCGCGGGCTTTTCGCGGGCTTTTCCTGCCTTGGAGACCCCCCCCCCCCTAAATCAGGAAAAATGCTCAATGTACCCCCCCCCCCTAAATTCGGAATAATTTCTCAGGAGTCCAAATAGATGAGAGAAAAAAGAAAAAACACCCCCTTTTGAAAGAAATCTCCGGGTTAAAAGTCAAATACACCCCTTTTTTTTTTTACAATTCTCGGGCCGGACTTTGTCGCACGAAAAGTACCCCTTTACCGGACATTTTGGCAACACGCGGTCATTTCGAAACCTGAGTGGGGGGGGGGGGCCGGGGACATGACTCAGTGGTAGAGCAGAGGTCTCGTAAACAGGAGATCCCGGGTACAAAACCCGGGGGCCGGGGGGGGGGGGGGGTCACTCCCAACATGACTAGCTATACGCACCCGCGTCCGGAAAAAAAAGTCGAAAGGGTGTCTTTTTCAGCTATGCGGCGTCGTCGACGTTTTTCAAACACTGATCGCACAAAACCCCCCCCCCCCCCAAAAAAAAAAAAGGTGTGATACACCATTAGGGTCCATTTCCGAGGTTGGTGGATACGGGTGGGTAGCACTTGAGTATGAGAGCCCCCCCCCCCCGGGTACGAAGCCAGTCGATGCACTCTATAGTGCCCTTTGGCAATGCATTAATCCTCATTATATACCAAGTCCCTCGGAGAGGTCTTAAATCCGTCGGTCATCTGGTTGGTTAAGTACAAGCATACACATGCTTTTTTAGCACTCGGGTAAAACCAACTCAATCATAAAAATCCATTCTCCCCAATAATTTGTTAGCTCTTTTTTTTTCTTCTCGCGAATGATTTTATAAGCCCAGCACACCCGCTATCCCCAAAGCAAAATAACAGAATGTTTCTCAAGATTAAGATCATGTTCCCGATGCAGGATAAACCATGATGAAAATAATACAAGTAAACCTTTTATAAATGTATTACTTTTATGATATACGGTGTTTTTTTAAAATAACCATTGGTGTATCTACGGGGGAGGGGCGTATATTGGGGCGTGGAATGGGGCCGCGGCCGGTGGCACTTACAGGTAAGTAGAAACTGCACGAGAGAGGTGCCCATGAGAGAGAGAGAGAGAGAGAGATAGGGAGAGAGAGAGAGAGAGAGAGAGACACACACACACACACACACACACACAGAAAGAGACAGACAGAGAGAGACAGAGAGAAAGAGAGAGAGAGAGAGAGAGAGAGAGAGAGAAAGGCCAAAGAAGAGAAAAATCACGAGCCCTTCAGAATTATGCGCTCCCAATATAAAGAGATTAGAACGGAGTTTTTGCTGCTATCAGGAGCGTACGCAGGATTTTTTTCAAGGGGGGTTTTAACATTTATAAATCGGGCCGAAAATTTCGCATCGACTCAGCCAGCCGCTGAATCAGCGATGTGTGCCCCTTTTCACCTCTAGTAACTGCCCCTTTTATTTTGACACGTGCCTCTTTTCCTTCAGTATAAGTGCCTATTCCCCTTCTCAATATTACCACTTTTCATCTCTGATTAGTGCCCCGTTTATTTTAACATGTGCCTCTTTTTCTTGTTAATAAGAGCCACTCCCCCTTCTTACAACAGCCTCTTTTACCTCCGATAAATGCCCATATTAAAATCTGACCGGCGCCCTTTTTCTTTCAACTAATGCACATTTTTCTTTATTATAAGTACCTTTTTTTTTCTCATTCTCATAAGTGCCCCTTTTCAGGTGCGATAAGTGTCCCTTTTCACCTCTGATAATTTCCTTTTTAGCAATGATACGTGTCCCTTTTCCTTTCTAATAAATGCTCCTTTTCCTATTATTAGTGCCCAACCCTTCTCATAATTACCCCTTTTTATCTCTTTTAAATGATACGTGTCCCTTCTCCTTTCTAATAAGGGACCTTTCCCCTTTTCTATGTCCCTTTTCACCTATTATAAATGCCCTATCAAAATCTGATTGCTGCCCCTTTTCCGTCGACAAATACCCGTTTCCCATTCTCATAAGTGCCCCTTTTTTCCATTCCTGGCGAGTGCCTCTTTTTGTAGGAGTAAGAGATGCACAGTTTTTACCTCTGATAATTACCCTTTGTAAATTGAAACGTACTCCTTTTCTTTTCTTATCCCTTTTCATACGCGACCCCTTTTCCTCTCATCATTAAACGCGCCCCTTATTTCAAGCGACTAGAGCAATTTCTCCAAAAGCAACTGGAAATCGTACTGGTTTTCAACTGATAAATCAACTGGTAATCATTTACTGGTTTTCAACTTGTAAATCAACTGAAATCAACTGGTAATCATCTACTGGGTTGGCAAAAAACTGCTCCCACCCCACCCCCGCCCCCAACGGCTGGCTCAGTCGCTGCTAAATATTTGATCAAAAATTGGACCCCCCCCCCAAAAAAAATAGTGCTCCTCCCCACACCCCCCATCCCCCACCCCCCCCCCCCCCCCCGCTTATTTACCGGCTGGACACTTTTTTTTAAAATTTTATTTATTTTTTTATTAAAAAATTAAGTTTGTTTTACCTGGCCAAGTACATTTCTTTTTAAATGGATCTTCGGTATATTGTCATCATATTGACACAAAGACATACCACATTACGTGCCTCAGTGAATGGACCCTAATGGCGTATCACATTTTTTCTGAATTGACCCTTTTTTAAGAAAACGTCGAAACCTGTGATCCTGAAAAGGTACCCTTTTGGGGATTTTGTGCGATCAGTGCTTGAAAAACACCCCTTTTTAAGGAAAACGTAGACGACGCCGAACCTGTGAATCTGAAAAGGTATAGTCTATCCTTGTTTGGTTATTGTGCGATCAACCAGTGCTTGAAAAACACTCCTCAGTTTTTAAGGAAAACGTCGACGCCACCGTATAGCTGAAAAAGACACCCTTTCGCCGCTATATTGGGAGTGACCCCCTGGGCGTCCTACTAGCTTCCCTTCCATTTCCTTTCATCAAAGCCCTATAAATTTTGCCCCAAAAAAATATATGTTGTACTTCGTTTAGGGCCTCAGGTTTTTGTAATTGTTTTAATTGTTTCCTCGTTTGGTCAAAAGAAGTATTCTCCATATTATGTTGACATGGATTCCTTAATTAAGATTCATGTTATTCTCTTAAAACGTAGGCTACATCATTTAACGAAAGCTGATAGATAGTGGTCCGGACATTCTAAATTGGTTGTGGGCCACAGGAGGACGTTGGGAATAAGAAATTGAAGCAATAAAGAGCATGACAAATAATATAGGCCTATTTGTTGCGATCGCATTCCTTCCGAAAATGCGTACATGTGGATTTGTCAATATCGAAATGGGAATTACCCATTATATTACCAGTATAGAGTTCATTTCATCATACATGTTCTTCCACCTATGCTAATTTCATGTGCCCCGTTCAGACAGATACTTTTCAGTCCGTTTATACTATATATTCAGAATTATTAAAAACGTAGGCCCTATTAATTTATTAATCAATTTAGCCTGATAAATAGTTTCTTACAAGCTCGAGCTCACAAACCAGCTTATGCAGACGCTTTGAACTTGACGATGAGAACAAAAACTCCGGACATTTAAAAGAAAACAATAGTACAGTTAGCTAGTGGTGCTATATAGTGAGAACGTTCCGCGGTCCACAGTGCACCGCGTCTAGATCTTTCTGCATCGAGGGTACGCGATCTCCTATTCATGCACGTGTTGTGTATACGTACGACTAGCTGCAGAATTTGCTTGTACAACATTGCACCACGCGCTATAAATTGTGTTGGAAACGCCTAGGCCAGGGCGTGATTTTATTTTGATCGTGACAGAATAGAAAGGATAAGGTTAAAATGGATCCGGGAGAACTCAAGTTGTTGAAAGAATTTGTAACTGTTTGTAAGGCAAATCCTGAAATTTTACACACTCCACCTCTCGAGTTTTACAAAGAATATCTGGAAAGGTAAGGATTGAATGGAGGCGTTTGTGAAGATTGACCGTATTGCCTTGGCTTTGTGCATGATCATGTGATTCAAAAATTGAGTCTTCTCATTTTTGATGTTCTTGTCTTGATGCGATTTTTCTCGTAGTTGTCTTTAACTAAATTTGCTAGCATTACAAAATAGCTTTTAGGCAGAAGATCTAGTATCAGCTTGCTGTTTATTTTTCTTAGTCTTCGCCTAGGTCTAGACTCTATTTTTGATCTTCCTTTTAAAAAAAATTAAAAATTAAAATTAAAAAATTACAAAAAATAAAAGCAAATGCTGAAATGGAAATGAACTAGACTAGCTATTGGGTCTAGTCAGGGTAGTGAAAGAAAGGCCGATGAATACACTCTCAGACGCTTTGCAGTTGATGTTTGGTTATTTTATTTTGAAGGCAACAAAACAGCCCCTGTAGAAACACAAGTGTAAAAACAAATGTAAATTAAAAACATCATAATATTCAAAAACCAATTACATAATTATATACTTCATGATCTGTATCAGCAACAAAGAAGGTGTTCAGTAAATAAGTTCATTATAGACCAGCTTCAAACATTGTATCAACTAAATAATCATCACTATTATTTTCATGACTTCAATGAACAGGTTAATTAAATAATATATCATGTCTAATATAACGGCTGAAGGACAGTTAACTTTTCATTTCACAATATAATGCCTTACATCACTAACTTAAGCAAAACCTAAATTACAGTTGAAGTGTAAAAAGTAACAACAGATTCATTCAATACATAATGCAAACAATATCTTTTTTAATAAAAATTAAAAAACAATAAGACTCACCGCCCACACTATTTAAAAAAAGCTTGACTTCAACGTACGCCCCTACAATACAGTCTTTGTGGTCTTATGAGGGATAAAACGTAATATATTACAATTAACATACAGCAAAATTCAAAGGTATGAATACATACAATTCAGTTATAATAGACCATTAATCTGTATAAAATCGTAAAGCATCGTACCACCAATAAAATTAACAAGTGAGAGTTTAGGATTTCACTTCGTGTACTAGGCCTGAGTCATGTCGGGATTTTCATAAACCGGGTCCCGACGGCCTCGTACCGATCGGGACCCGGTGTCCCGAAATCAGCTCGCAGGATTTGTCACCTTGCCTCTATAAAAAGCGCATATCATCAGTATGTCCCTTAAAAGTGACCTTTTTTATCAATCAAATAAATCAACACATGCATACCTCGGCTCAGATCGGTATATTCTTCCATTTGACATTATTTTCATCCATGATTGGCGATGTTTAGTGCCATTTTCTTGCCTCTTAAAGTAAAAAAACTGGGGCAGAAATAGAACGACAACATTCGAGCTGCCATTTTGATTTATGCAGGTTGAATAAATCTGGTCAAAAAATATGAATGTTGGAATAATAAAACGGCTTTCTAAAAATTTCTTCTGTACAATATACCGATCATATAATATTTTAAAGACAAAATAAATATTTATCTCTTATTTTAAACATCGCATGCTTTTTCTTAGAAGCTGAAAATTACTTGATAATCAAGAGTTTCAATACGGATAGCTGTTGCAAGGCAAGTTCAGAATAGTCTCGGAAAAATGGGCAGTGCTCCTCGTAATTAGCTGTAATGCATGCCAGAACGAACCCAAACAAAGACGTGATCGTAACGAGAAAAAAAAATCATTAAAAACTACGAGAGCACAATTGGAAAGACAACTACTGCTCAAAATTACCATAATCAGATAGATAACTTGGACAAAGAATTCAATAATCGCCCAAGAAATGCCACAGAAATTGTGATAATCGAGGAGTAACTGGTTACATTTTTATCGCAAGGGGCCTGCTGCAAATACTTGAATCCTTTGTTATACTGCTTTTTACCGTAGAGGGCGGTATTTGCCTCGTATGGCCTCGTGTTCAATTTAAACACGTGTAATTCGGATATTGCAGCAGGCCCTTCTAATGATGGTACCTTTAGTAACTCCTCAAATATCACTATTTATGTGGCTTTTCTTCGACAACTATTGTTTTCTTCCTCCAAGTTATGTATCTGCTTACGATAATTTTGAGTAGTTGTCTTTCCAATTGTGCTCTCGTAGTTTTTAATGATTTTTTTCTCGTACGATCACGTCTTTGTTTGGGTTCGTTCTGGCACGCATTACAGCTAACGAGGAGCACTGTGCATTTTTCCGAGACTAGTCTGAACTTGCCTTGCAACAGCTATCCGTATCAAAACTTCTTGTGATTACCAAGTAATTTTCAGCTTTTAAAAGAAGCATGCGGTGTTCAAAATCAAAGAAAAAATATCTATTTTGTCTTTAAAAAATTATTTGATCGGTATGTTGTAAAGAAGTACTTTTTAGAAGGCCGTTTTATTATTCAAACATTAATGTTTCTTTCAACCTGACTTATTAATCCTGCCGAGAGGCCCTGCCAGTACAGTAGCTAGCCAGCACCTAAGCAGCTGGCAACAACAACCCCATAGGGCAAACTGCCTTGCAACCCATATTTATATCAGCAGTTCGGATTGATTCAGGATGAGCTAGAATATGATTGGTAACAATTGAATACTTAAGTTTTTAAGGTGGATTGATTTTAGTGGTGTGCAAAACTGCAATTTCTTACATATTTCGTTATTTTTTTCGGAGCATCGGTTCTCAAAAAACGAAACCGGGACCCGACGGCACCGGTCGGGTCCCGGTGTGATCGACCGTACCGACTCGAGCCTATCGTGTACATGTACATACGCCACTCAAATACTATATAAAAAAGGATCGCATTGCAAAAACCCATGACACACTCAAATTCTGCCAATATCCATAGGAACATCAATAATTGTTCAACAAGCATATAAGTAGGATACATGTACACATATTACAATAAATAAATGTAACATTTATAAGGATAAGCGAATGATTAACTCACATGTAACTCAATTGCCCACTATGCACGTGCACCACTTGTGACTTCTCTGCAGTAATGTCTTCTCCAGTCATGTGAAAGCTGTCACCTCCTGCAACCGAACCCAAGCCCAGGTCTATTATCTACATGTATTTGATTTCACTGTGAGCAATTAGACTCTAGTCTATTTTCTGATTGAGCAACACTGAGCTTGAGTAGTCTAGTCTAACACTGTCTAATTCGAAAAAACCCTGCAGAAACAGTACATTTCCAACGAGAAGTGAGGGTGAAACTATCCCAACTGAAGCGGCATATGCCAAATGCAAGTCTCATTATAAATGAAAGAGAGCTGGCTTTTGGTGTGATTGTAAACTCATGAAAATCATCTGAAATGTCTGGACACCCAACCACAATGGCCATGGTGCAGTAAGAATCTCATGATGCAAACAAATTGCTGATATTTAGGAGGGGGGGGGGGGAGCAAGGGGAACCCTTTTCCCCCATTATCTTTTTTAATGGTAAAATGACCGAGCAGCATTCCTTGATTGCAACAATAATAAGCCTTGTAAATATTGATTGTTTTTTTTCCCTCTGCGTTAAAGTCTTGATGCCAAGATCCCAGGGCCTAAGGAAACACCAAGCACATCATCAGGAGCAGCCTCATCAGAGCCTTCTGCGCAGGCTCCTCCAGCACCAGAACCAGAACCAGAACCAGAACCAGAAGAACCTATGGATCCAGAGAGTGAAGAGAGTGATCTGGGTAGGTCAAGGCTTTTGTTTCATTTGCCACTATCCACCCAGGTGTGGTGGAAGGGTACCCGTCAGAAAAAAATTCCTCAAATCCTTGAGTGCCTTATAATGGTGGCTCAGCTAAAACTTGGGGTAATAATGTGATCCTGTAATTTGTTTTAAAGCCTATCTGCACTAGTTTGGCCAGGAGGCATTAGACCTCCCTGCAAGGTCACTGGCAGGTGGTTATCTCATCAAATCAGCTCTCAATTAACATTAGAAAAAGGGCGTCTGGGGGGATCATCGGGTACCTTGTTGGCTGTATTTATAGAGGGCGCAAGTATGAATGCATCTATTACTGTTGTTGTTGGTAGTGCTATTGTCCAGTGATGATTTCAAAGATTGCATTATGACAAACAGCTGCCATTTGTTAATATCTACATGTAAATGGTTTATTCATGTATAAATTTATTTCAAACTGCATGAAAACAAAACATTGTATACACCAGTTTACAGTTGTGTGCGCCATTTTAAACAAAGCCAATGACCTAGAGGTCATGTATTTATGCGTAAATTAAGATTGCGCCCATGCAAATTTTGATGATATCACTGCCTACGCGCCCATCATCATTTGCATGGGCGCAATCTTAATTTACACATAAATACCAGAGGTCAGAGGTTATTGGCCCCGTTCCGGGGCCAATGACCCGAGGTCAAATGACTGCGCATGCGCACTGATACAACTGTAAACTGGTGTATTGATAAATTTGAGCCAAAACTAATTCTTATGAAAAAAAACTAACAATTTGCATTGATTATTATTTTTGTCTCTCTCGCTTTCCTCCAGAAATTTAAGACAGGTAAAACTAAAGTAAGAAGCCTGCAATTTGCAGCCTCCTCCTTCTTTTGGAAGAAACATGTAGAATACCATGGCATTGTAGTAAAATGATGTACTCATTCGCATCCTCAACCACCCCCCCCCCCTCCTCCTTTTCCAAATTGCTCTGCAGCTTCTGTGTCTCTGATGGGCTGTATACTTTTACATGTTTTGTTTGACTATCAAATGGGTTGAGAAAGAGAGAAGATATATTCATAGAGACCTCCCCCCCCAAAAAAAACAAAAAAATATAATAAAAAAATTACATTACCACAAATGGCCAGGGATTGGTTAGCTTGGAGCCGGTCTAACAAGAGAGCACTAACTATGCTAGTATCACTTGTGAATTCACAGAGCTTGACAATGAGGGCGTGATTGAGCCAGACACAGACGAGCCTCAACCCATGGGAGACACAAGCAAGGAGGTCACAGATGAGATGCAGGACGAAGCCAACAGCAAGCGATCGGAAGCCATGGCGGCCGTGTCAGAGGGTAACATCGAGGAAGCCATCAAGATCTTCACAGAAGCCATTGAGATCAACCCACATTCTGCCCTGCTTCATGCAAAGAGAGCCAGGTGAGAAGATTGCAGTTTGCCTGGGTAGCGTAGCCGTCACTCCATCCGGCGTCGTCGGCGTCATCAACAATTATGCTGTATACGCATTAGAGTGGCGAAAGTGTGGAACGTCATCAAAAATCTATTTTTTTGAATTTCTCAATCTTTTCTGCATTTTCTGGAAGAGCATCAAAAATAATGTCCAAATGTCGAAAACCAATTGAAAAGGTTAAGTATTGGCTGAGATATGACCATCTGAATAAGTAGATCTCAGCCAATACTTAACATACTTAATTGGTTTTGACATTTGGACATTATTTTTGATGCTCTTTCGGAAAATGAAGAAAATATTGAGAAATTCCAAAAATAGATTTTTATGATGTCACAGCTTCGGTACTCTATAACTTTCTGTATCTTTGATGTAGGATCACCAGATTCATACCACAGATACAAATCGTGATATCCAAAGAAATACTTGAGATAAGATCATCAAACTTGGTAACATCATGTATCACCATAGGAAGACGATCTGATTAGGTTTTGGAGTATGTAGGCCAAAGGTCAAAGATCATAGTCGTTAGTTGACCTGTAATAATAGGCTTTTTGTTTTCATTGTGATATTTCAAAAATAGTTCCATCCATTTTCTTATAAAAACTTAGGGTCGAGGCATTAGGAGACGCAGTCCCATTTGTCTTGTTATTATTTTCATTTGGGGATAGAGAAGGTCTTCTCTAGCAGATGTAGTAGCATCGTAAGGGTTTTGGAACAGCTGTATGGATCATAATTCTGATACTGGCAATGACATAGACTTTTCCTTGCTGATTCAATACTTCCTTTTATAAAGCACTTCTTGGTTAAGCTCCCTTTTATATCAAAGAACTTTCGAATTTCAAACTTAATCAACACAATCGCAACTTGCGCAGTTCCCGAGATACTTTGTTGCTGCAGATCCCATCTATCAAAAGAAAAATAACGCTAGGTGATCGAGCATTTGCTTGTGCAGCCCCAAAACTCTGAAATAACTTACCATTTGAAGTCAGGAAATCACCATCTGTAGATTCCTTTAAATCAAAACTGAAAGCACATCTTTTCAATTAGCTGTAAATCTTAGGATATCAGGAGCTCTTGTAGCGCAGTAGAATATATACTTAATGTTGGATAGTTTTTGCACTCTATTAATGTATTATTAATATTATTATTTTTATTCTGCCCACAGCTGCTTTGTTCGTCTCAACAAGCCCAACGCTGCGATCCGTGACTGCGACAAGGGAATCGACCTCAACCCGGACTCCGCCCAGGTCTACAAGTGGAGGGGTAAAGCCCACAGACTGCTGGGACACTGGGAAGAGGCCTTCCGGGATCTGCAGATGGCCTGCAAGCTGGACTACGATGAATCGGCCTACGAGATGCTCAAGGAGGTAGAGCCCAGGGTGAGTGAGCATTGAGACTCGAGAGAAATGGTTCTTAAAGACGCATAGTAGTCGGCTCTCATGGGGAATTAGACACCGTTCAGGTGTTTACCCTATAACAGGCATTGTAAATCACCAGGATCAGCCTTCAGTTTTATGACCAAAATTTCCTCATCCATTCCTCCACAAGGTAAAGTCATTATCTCACTTTTCCCTCAACCAAAGACTCTCCGAGAGACGAAAGGGTATTTCTTGATGGACCTACAGGTTCGCTGTGTACAGACTTGTAAACACATTAATTGTATTTCCACCAAGTCTGGTGTCAGCGAATTATGGCCTTCTGCACATGGAAACTGACGACCCACTCCCTTTAACCACTGTGTACTTCTTTTCATTGCCTTATTCCTCAAAGGTTATTCCCACAAAATAGATGATTCTCAAGATGGACATCCCACAAGACTGTTGATGTCAATATCATGGGCCATCTGTCAATGTTTTAAGGGTTCCTGAGACCGACCTACGAGACCTTAATGCACATGTAAAATATCAGTCTCTTTAGCCTTCTGTTAAACTCTTAAGAGGATTCACAGGAGTGACAAAACCAAAAGCCAGAGAGACTAAAATTTGCCTTCTTGTCACTCCCAGAGGGTTACCTAGATCAACAGCACACAAGTCTAATGATCCACTAGACATTGTCCAGTTTTCCTAATGAATTCTGTTGTTTTTTCTGCCATTTTCAATTGTCATTAGAAATAATCCTACATAAATACATTTACAGTCAAACCTGTCTATAGCAACCACCCAAGGGAAACACAAAAAGTGGTCTTAGTAGACAGGTTCCTTTAGTAATGTTTCAATGAGAAACCATTTTCAAGGGAAACAAAAAATGTGGTCTTTGTAGACAGGTGGTCACTATAGCAGATTGGTCTTTGAAGACAGGTTCCTTTAGTATATGTTTCAAAGAGAAACCATTTTCAAGGGAAACAAAAGAGGTGGTCTTTGAAGACAGGTGATCACTAAAGCAGGTTTGACTGTAGTTAGAAAGGCATTAAATATTTGAGCAACCTATAATTTTTTTTGAATTTCTCTTAGATTGGTGTTTGCTTGCAGATTCCTCTAAAGTTCTTATGATGATTATATTCTCATTTTAGGCCAAGAAGATCGTAGAGCACAAGAGGAAGTATGAGAGGAAACATCAGGAACGAGAATTAAATGAGAAGAAGGAGAGGATCAGGAAGGCTAAACTAGCAGCAGAGAAAGCACGCAAGGTAGGATAAATACATCATACACTATGAATATGACTGACAAAGAAAGCGGACAAAATATACAGTTCCTCAGGTAGACAAAGGAACATCCCTTCACTGCTAGAATGTGTAGAACAGGTGCCACATGTATATTCACCTGTTCTACACATTTTTACATAATAGCAGTAAAGGGATGTTCCTTTGTCTACCTGAGGAACTGTATATTTTGTCCGCTTTCTTTGTCAGTGATGTTCATAGTGAGTGATAGCTCTCCTTATTGATTTCCATTGGTAATAATGTGAAGGTTATTTGGGCTATTCAAATGTTTGTAAAAGCTAATAAATATACTTTCAATATTAGTGTCCCTCTCAAATGCTTGTAAAAATGTCAAACTTGTACTACAGGGCAAGCTTATCTGACAAATTCCTTAGTCACAAAAAATATGAAAATAACTGATCTTTGCCTTTTATATTAAAGGTAAAGACCAGTTATGGTCATGCGATTGCATTGTGAAAGAATGGTTGTGGAATCGATCAGAAAAGGTTGATCATCTAGCATCTAGCATCTGCAAGGTTCTGGAATCATCATAATGATAAGAAATTTGGCCCATTCTTCGTAAAGTTACAAGCACTACAGAAAGATGTATATGGGACTACCCTATATCTCTCACAGACCATGAGAGAAACAAATTTACCAAATATATGAATTAGTAGGCGGTTTCCCGGCAAATTTTGTATCATCATGTATTAGTCAAAACATATTCTTTCACATGATTGGTAATGAGAGCTTCCATTTCATTTTTTGAAATTGGGGCATTTCCAATACTGGTCTTTACCTTTAAAGACTTTAGGGGGATGGGGGTTGTATTACTGATGTACTCAACTATAAGAAAATAGAAGGGCATATTTAATTTTAACATGAGTGCATGGGAATCAAACTCTTTGATAAAGATTGACTAGACATGGGTGCACCTCTGGGGAGTGTTTCACAAAGATTCTAAGTCGAACTTAACTCTAAGCTGGACTTAAAAATCAAGTAATTTAGACTTTTTATGAATTCCACATCAGAACATGAAATCTCCTTGATAATAGAAAATATGAATGATTTGAATCAACATTTTATGCCTTTTAAATTAACTTTTGCAAAATACTTTCATAGATGCTAATGGCTTTCCATAAGTCCAAATTAGAGATAAGTTCAACTTAAGATCTTTGTGAAACACCCCCCTGGACACCTTGTACCTAATTCTTCACAATATTTTTTGTGATGTTTTCTTTGGTCATTCCAGGAAGAAGAAGAGAGAAGGAAGCGTGAGGCAGAAGAAGGATTCCCTGGCGGATTCCCTGGCGGGTTCCCTGGAGGATTCCCAGGAGGCATGCCAGGCGGCTTCCCTGGGGGATTCCCCGGTGGAATGGGCGGCGGTGGCATGCCTGGGGGATTCCCCGGAGGTATGCCCGGAGGTATGGGCGGCGGCATGCCTGGTGGTATGCCAGGGGGAATGGGCGGCGGCATGCCTGGTGGTATGGGCGGTATGCCTGGTGGTATGCCTGGCGGCATGGGTGGCATGCCTGGTGGCATGGGGGGTATGCCAGGCGGCATGCCCGGTGGAATGCCTGACATCAGCGGCATCATGTCTGATCCAGAGATCCTTTCGGCTTTCCAGGTGAGTCTATTGTCAACTGCTCAAATTTCTTTTATTACACATTTTTTTTTTCTTTTTTCATGTGCTGCATTCTAGGATGCATGGTTTGGCACAACAACATTTAAAGTCGTCATCCTCAAAAATATATCTCATTCATGAGCAAATGTCAACAAATTCTAAATCCTTGTTTTTGATTAAATTATTGAATTTTAAAATAGTTTTGATAATATTTGAGATAGATAATATGACTTTTTGATAGTGTAGCAGTGATAGAAATATATCAGTGTTGCTATTCCCTCTTCTAAAATCCATTCTTTATAAATGAAAACTTGATGGATCAGGAAGATATCTTCTGACTGGTTCAAGTAGAACACTAGAATAACAGGACAATAATGGAATACAAGAAAAGAAAAATCATCAACGAAACCAAATAAGATGCTTATCTGATTGCAGGCAAACAATATTTTCAAATGAGTCATTTTCTGTTGCTTCAAAATGTTAACTTTAAAGCTTATCAGTACTAGTTTACAGGAGGGATTAGACTGCCCTGCAAGGTCACTGGACAGTTGGTTATCTCATCAACTCAGCTCTCAGTTAACCTAAGAAAAAGAGGATCATGGGGGACCAATGGTCACCGATTAGGCATTGTTTAACATAGAGAGGGCGCAAGTAGCTACAAGTAGTGCAGTGGGGTTTTAAGGCAGCCATAAGATGTGGTGAATGAAGAACATTGATTGGTCATATTTTGCTGACACCAAATTTAGTACAATCACCAATTAATGTGTGTAAAGGTCTCCCAGGCAGCAAAGTTGTGATCCACCAGAAAATAATGCTGGCTTGCCTTCAAATCTTGGGGGTGATGGAAATTTACGATGTTGAGATTTCCTTGTGGGGGTCGGGATTGGTTGAGGGAACAGGGCCTTACATGACACCTCTTGGTGATAACAATGAAATGTACTCTGGGTGATTGAAAACGCCTGTTATTTGGTAAACACCCAAATGGTGTTCAAAGTATAAGAACCCATGACTATGGGTCTTTATAGTGGAAATTAAACAATAAATGTTGTAACCTGGGGGGTGTTTCACTAAGATCCTAAGTTGGACTTAACAATTATGGAAAGCCATTGTCATCCTCAAAAACATTTTGTAAAAGTTATTTTAAAAGGCATAAAATGTTGATTCAAATCATTCATATTTCTATTGTGGGAGATTTCATGTTCTTGATGTGGAATTTATGAAAAGTCTAAAATACTTGGAATTTTTGCTTTTGAATATATTTCATTATAAGGCTACAAATGGCTCTCCATGATATTTAAGTCCAACTTATAGTTAAGTTCGACTTCAAATCTTTGTGAAACACCCCCCTGACCTTGTAAATTTTGTCCATCCCTGACCGACACAGGATCCTCAAGTGCAAGAAGCCTTTGCTGACATCAGCTCCAACCCCGCCAACATCGCCAAGTACCAGAACAACAAGAAGATCACTGACCTCATCGCCAAGATGCAGTCCAAGGTTCCCAGAGGAGCGGGCGGGGCTGGAGGACCACCCGGAGGACCTCCATCACCACCCCCACCAGCCTCTGGAGGAGGGGCTCCACCTCAGGGAGAACCCTCGGCTCCTGGAGCAAGCACTCAAGACATTGATTGAGCCGTTGCTACAATGTACGTTCCTACTGTCACATTGATTCCAAATGCATCTAAGATGACGTTACGTATCCACTTCATGCATGTAGATATTAAGTCTCTGTTCTCTGGATGAAGACTATGTTTTAAGAGGTACCAATCCATAAGGCCTTTAAAAAAAAGATGTTGCATTGCCCTTTGCGACCGACCCCCAATTTTTTTTGTTTACTGTTTTTTAGAGAAAAAAAATATCAAAGCATTCAAAACCTGGAAATATCTGCCCAAAGAGGGAGAAAAAAAAAAGGGAAAAAAAGAAAAGATTTCTGATCGACCAACCCATGATTTGGCACCTTAAGGGCAATACAACATCTTTTTTTAATGCCTAAAATAACATTCAAATAATATGACATAATCTAAAGAGCTAAAGCCAGGGAAGCGATCTGTTTTTCATAGGCGATGCAAAAGTTATTTAGAAATGAGTCGTATCATTATGTATGGTAATCAACTTTATACACTAAGAGTTTAATATGCCGCAAAGGGATCTGTGAAGAGAAAAAGTAAACTCACTTTTTCTTATATTAAATGGAAATGAATCTACAAGGAAAAGTGTGTCAAAAGCTGACCATTTAAAAAATCTATCTTCTACATGGCTCATAAAAAAGGATCGCGAATTAGTTTTAGGTTCATCGGAAAGACTCCAATCCTTCTGTTTAGTTTTCCTACCAATAATTGAAAATTTTATTACTCGGGTCTCAGGTGTACATGTAAGTTGATCATTTACTTAGAGGTATCAAATTACACTGGATGTCCAAAAATATATATATATTTTTAATGTTTATATAAACCCATCTCACACACACCCACAGAGCACTTAAATCCTTTAAAAGGTCAATAAAATATGTGTGCTTTGGCAATTGTAAATAGCTCTTATCTTGGCACCAAGCATTTAGCACAATTTACACAATGTGAAACCACGAATAGTCAACAACATTTCATATGGCTCCTTTTAGTGGCTATAGAAACTATTACTATCTAATGTAGATTAGGGATTTCGTATTTCTAGCTGAAGTTATAATTTTGTATCGCTGTCTTGTACAATATCATAGGGTAATAATGATAACATCAAATGTATTGCATGTGCTGGTATGTTTTGTTTGAAACAGTAGCAAATGATATGTCCCTGAATTATGAATTTTATATACCCCTTTGTGAGTTATTCTTGGATGTTCGCTGCTATCATTTATCCATTTTATGTATCGTCTCTCTAACTAAATTCCTTTATTGTCAGCTTTCATCAAATTAAGGCTGCCAATAGTGGAGGGCTCGATCCTGTATTGCATGTTCATGATGTTTACTAATTCTTACATAAACAAATTAAAGAATGGTCTTATTTGTTTAGCCTCATGAGCTATAGAAGGAATATTCATATTCTTTCGTGGTATTGCATGTACTCTGTACTGTGCGTAGCAATTTGAAATGGTTTTTCTTTTATGTGTAAATTGGTCACTGCTTCTAAGTGAAGTTAATACCTGTTGATATTCAAATTATACACCAGTATGTAATTATTGTTTTTCCTGTAAACGATTCGATCTCTGTTTGTCATTGAATTTCGTGGTGGAGGCATGAGAAACATGGCCTCTTCACTTCATAATTTGATTTTGTTATCAATTTAAAATTGTATATCATGAAAGTAATTTTCTATATTTTTTTTCTATTGATGTCAACATTATGGGTCATCTAAAATTGATTTTGAACTCATTAATAGTTTCAAAATGTATCCTGATGGACAGGAGCCGAGTTAAGTAATTCATTTGATTTAAAAAAAACTTATGTCCTTCTAATTTTGTAGTAATGTTCATTCCAAATGTTCTCTTTACATTATCAATATGCGTCTCTAAAAAAAAAAAAATGATAACAATTTTGACTTCTGTACTTTTTGTCTAAAAATTCAAAAAAAAATCAATACTTTTCCTATAAGGTGTACCCTATTGATTCATTTATGAATACTTCAAAGAAAATTTCGAGGCAAATAAATATAAAATGATTTCTTTGTGAAACTTATTGTTCTCTGTGTTATGTCAGATTCTTTTTTTTGTCTTGCAAATTTTATTCTCACGATTACATTAATATCTTCCATCATATTAGATCATGAAGCCAGTCAGATTTTATTTCATAGCCTTTTCCCTGTTCATACAGTTATTGAAATCAAGATTATATGATTATTCAGCTTTAACAAAGTTTAAATTAAATTTAAATGTAGTACTTTTCGTTTCTCATTGATGGACGGAACATCATTTATTAAGGTCCCCTCCACTTCTCGTTTACTCTCTTTCCTCCCCCTCCATCTTTCCTCCCCCCCTCTCCTTTTCCCTCCCCTCCCTCTCTCTTTCCTCTCCCCCTCTCTCTCTCCCTCTCTCCCTCCTCTCTTTCTCATTCTCGAAACTTCAGAAATTCATTCAAATGCAATCGGAATCATATCAAACAAGTTCCTTCATTGCCAGAATAAGCTAATTTCCCATTAACAACCCAACCCATGACCAAGAATATTTGGACTGAACACCATTCATCTACTAAAGGCCCCCACCCCTTCTTTCTCTCTCACTTTCTCTCCCATCCCCCCTCCTCTCTCTTCCTCATTCTTAAAACTTGAGAAACAAGAATCTTATTCAAGAATTCTTATTGCCGACAAGAATAAGCTAATTTAAACGAAATGCTTCTCCTCTCCCTTCCCCTCCTCTCTCGTTCTCTCTTTCTCACTCTCAACACTTCAGAAATTTATTCCAATGCAACAATAGTCATATTCCAACAAGTTTCTTTATTGCCTGCAAGAATAAGCTAATTTAAACCATGCACTAATTGAATCAAGATTTTATGCTTCTCCCCCCTTTCTCTTTCCTCCCCATCTCTCTCTCTCTCTCTCTCTCTCTCTCTCCTCCCCCTCTCCCCTTCTCTTTCTCTCTCTCTCTCCTCCCCCTCTCCCCTTCTCTTTCTCTCTCTCCTCCCCCTCTCCCCTTCTCTTTTTCTCTCTCTCTCTCCTCCCCCTCTCCCCTTCTCTTTCCCTCTCTCCTCTCCCCTTCTCTTTCTCTCTCTCTCTCTCCTCCCTCTCTCTCCTTCTCTTTCTCTCTTTCTCTCCTCACCCTCTCCCCTTCTCTTTCTCTCTCTCCTCTTCTCCCTCTTGTCTCTCTTCCTCACTCCCAAAACTTAATAAATTAATTTTCCAATGCAACAAGAATCATATTCAAACAAGTTTCTTTATTGCCTGCCAGAATAAGCTAATTTAAACCAAATGCTTCTACCAGAACATGAACATACACAAACGTTGTAATATATTACATCATTTCCTTGTAATGATAGTCTTTCCCTGTAGAACACACCCAAATAGAAATATATCATGTCGTCATACATTCCATATATCATCTTGCTCGTGAAGTACATAAGTGTATATAATATATCTCTTTTTCTTGTAATGTTCCCCAAGGTGACGTAATAGGATTAGTTCTAAAGGTTAAATTCTGCTCTAGATTACTCAAAACTGCAAACTCTGTACATCTTCTATGTACAGTGTTAGTTCATCTTTTTTTCTCTCATATGTACAAACAATAAAATAAGCAGTGATCTTTGTACAATTTAAGACGTTTTTGGGGGGATTATCTGTTGATAATTCCAGGTTTGGGGGATTATTTCAATGGTTCATGGGTCAAAACAGGTTCATTACAAATGCACATTTAACATTGTAGATGTATATCCTTGAGCTATACATGTCAAAACTATCTTTGTTGACAAATGTCCTGTTTGTGATTGCTCACAACCCTACTTAATATATTCAGTTCATTTTTTTCGAAATTCGAAATGTGAAGTCAATCTTAACCCGTGAAATATGCAATATTCCACTTTCCTTTCATGCACTTAACACTGAATTTCATACCCTTAAGAATTACTGTTCATAAGTTAGCCCATAAATTAATCGCAAACATGTATTACAATCATCTTGAAACAAAACTCGTACAAAGCTAGTCAACACACACGTAACATCAGCCTGTTCAAACCTGACATCTCTACCTGTGCTAGAGTGAATTACAATGCTAAAGAGTATGAACACTCCCTGGCTCTTGTTCAACTATCCTTTACAAAGTATTTGTTACTGTATATCATAGCCCTCACAGAAGTTGATTACAATTTCCATGTACACTTTGTTTCAATGAACCCCCCCCCCCCCAAAAGCAATCTGTACACTTCTTTAAGTAGACAACATCATCTTCATACGACAGGGGATGACAGTCAAGAACACTTTTGGGTAGGGTAGCACACTTCAGTTAACTTTGCAACAAACTTTCTTATGTTGGTTGAGCACATCTTAAAGGATAGTTATTTGGTAATAATGCCCAGAGTTTTGTGCTAACTTCCCTCCTTTCTGGGAGCGAGTTTGGGATTTCACATTTTAAGAACAGAAACAACAAAAAACACCCACATGTCTGTTTAGAGCTGAAAGGACTTCAACTCTGTGTAAAATGATACGCGTTAACGACCTTCTGGCTCCAAACAGACGATAGGACTCCCGATTTGTCTTCCTATCATATATAAAATTCTAACCACTGCAAAATATGTGCTGCATATTTTTATACATAACTAAAAAAATCAAGAGAAACGTAAATATACTGTCTAATAAAATAATACTATGTCATATAACTGTTACAGTCATCATCAGAAGACTCGAGAACAGAAAGGTAAAAATGCATAAACTCAAATTTCAGTTGAACGGAAAGACTACAGAGTATTTAGCAGTGCAGGTGCAATTTACAACATATTAGAAAAGTATATAATCACAATTGAGCTAATTACAAATACAATTGATAATTGGGTCAATTCTATGCGATACAGAATGACATTTCCAGAGAATTTCCTCTTTGTTATATGAAAGAATGTAATAGACATTTTGATTTAAAGAAATATACAAATGAATGATGCGATACAATGTATATTAACTAATGTAAGGTAATTTTAAGACATTTGGGTTTCCTTTCAACCAATCATCAAGTTTATAAAATATTGTGTTTAATAACGGTTAATAGCTACGGAAAGACTTGGAAGGTAACTTTTTAGGTCATTCCGTAACAAAGCTATTTAAATTTTAATATTCTATCAATTGATGAATAGTTTACTAGAAACTCAACTGTGATGGAAGTACCTCATAGTAGTTTATACATTAAGTCATTTGTTCGTAGATTTCCAATTAATCTGCCTACAATATTCTTTGTGTCAAAATTGAAAAAATCATAATTCTTTTAAAATGTCATTCCGTAACGCTTGGATTCGACCATAACTACTGTCCTGCAGTGTTTTTGTTTAATAGGGCTAAACACACTGGATTCATTGCATAATTCCATAAATTTAGTTTGCCCAAACCGGCTCATCGCAGGGAACTGTAATCCAATTATGACGACAATTGAACGTGTCGCGGAGGAGTAGTAAGTACGCATCAAGTATATCTGGTCGTGTACACCGACCAAAAAAAAAGAGTATGCTTCATCAATTCTTTTTGGACTAATACCATCAGAAAGAAAAGCATGTATTTCTATATTTCTTCACATAATATAAATAATTGAAATCATTCCATAAATATAAACTATCAACAAATTTTAAACCTCTGCAAAAAATCTGATAAACAATTCAAATATATACATATTACCACAGGATAACAATCACACAAACGACCTGGAGCGAAAACACAAATCAGGTTTCAAAAACAGATTTCTCATTCTTCCTCAATATTTTCATGAATACATTAACAAGAGAAATTTATCATTTATGCTCTAGTATACTTGCATTTGTGCATTTTTTTAATGGTATAGCTATATTACCATATATGTATAAAAATTACCTCATGACATTTGTGGTATATAAATTTATAATATATCTTCACATTTGTTTCTATAAATAAAATCTTATTTAAACATTTTTTTTGGTGATAGAAATAAAAAGCCAAGTACATAGTAAGTGATGTTTTATCAGAATTTTCATACTGCCTGAGAATAAAACCACTAAAGTTTTGAAGCACAGATTAAATATTTTCAGTCTAAAACACAACCAGTGCTTTTTAAAATAAAAAAAGCTAATACTGGTAGAACTATCATTCCTAAAGCCTCGTTTACATATGAATTGGTAAACTGTGGCAGAGATTGTCTTCTGACGTAAATTTACAGGTAATATGCTTTGCATTGCCGTATCTCATAACGCGTGAGTTTGGTGAATACGTGTAGGACATGGTTGCGCTCATCACGGTATACTGCTCCTATCTGAACGAGCCTTGATGAAACGACCTACAGCGTTGCAGCAAATCTGAACGCGTAAACTGCTTTCAAACCAGACAGGACCCGGGCCGTGTGAAGAACCGCGCGGTGAGACCTGAACGGTAGTGGTATTGAGGTTCATTACATTCAAGCATTTATTATGACAATATGCGTTCACTCATACTTAAATTGGTGCACACAGAATACTCCAATATCCAGTCCTTAGGGAAACCTTGTGACCGTCATGACGAAAAACGAGAAGAAATGAAAAGAAATTTCTCAAAGTAGATGGATATTAGTCAAATCTTGAGAACAAAAAAAATTGCACACAAGAATCACCCTGAGGAGGAAAAAAAATATCACCATGGATACGAGGATAGTACAATCTGGTCAAACGTAATATACAAATACTCTACAACAATACATAATATACACATATAGCCTGTTATAAGCTGCTACAAGTATTATAAATATGTATACATATATATGTCTGTACACATAAAATGGTTTGTATATACAATTATACATGGGTAAAGCAGCCAAGAAAATGCAGTAAAATGCCTGAAATATAGCGGATTTATGTGAAAATAACTTCTGTTTGCATACATATTACATTCTAATACGTAGTGTGGGACCTTGTTTGCATAAATATGGTTCCTCAATCTCCTCCCTCCCCCTATATGCCCTGGCAATTATCAAGGAATAAATATTTACAGCTTTACAATGTGCGTTTGATCAGTTCCATATGAACTTTGAACAAAAACAAAAGACACT